CTACAACTCCCATCATCCCTGACCACTGGTTCTGTTAGCTAGGGATGATGGGAGTTGTAGTCCCAAAACATCTGGAGGGCCGAGTTTGCCTATGCCTGAATTACACAGACAGTAATAGCCTCAAAGCATCATGAATCCAGTAGCCTTAATCTTTAAACCATTTTTTTTTTTGTCCTGGACAAGTCCAACATTTTTGGTTTAACACCCACTAAAATATTCACCACTCACACCAAATTTTCAGAGTTTGACAAAGAGCTCATTCTGGGGAGCTGTCCATTTAAATAGGCTGAGGGTGATTTGGGTTCTGTTTGCTCTGCCCATTTATGGGTTTTCGTCTCCCACACTGCTAGAATAGAGATAAATCCCTGATTTCTGTACTAGAAAAAACATGGCTCACAATGCTTGGCTCACAACTCTTTATGCTTCCATGGTGCTAGTTTGTTGACTTTTCATTTTCGCGTTTATTCCACTTCTCATGTAGTATGGCTTCAAAGTATGCTGTGGCACCTGCACTCAGTTTTTATAAAAACAAGCAATTGAAAAATTGCATCTGCGGAGGGGGACAAACATGAGAAAGTGACATTTCCAATTCCCCACCCCCACCCCGCTGATGGTCAGTTAAATGTTGCCATGGGTCTTAAATGCCACGTCAGCTGTAAAAACATTTTAAGCATCTGTTTTAATAGATTATATCTGCCACCGATACAACAGTTTGTAGGTTTTTACTGGCGGATTAAATTTATTAATACCTTGGCCTTTTCTGGTAGTTGAAATGGATCCAATTCTCGTGTGTATTTGATTACTTTTCCACAGGTCTTTTTGGGTTTTGGCAGGTGTTTTCATGTTGAACAGATATAGCACAGTACTTTTGAGCTACTGTTTTTCAGCAAAGGACCACTGTTTTAAATTCAGGGGTGAGAAAACTTTTTTCCAGCTCAGGGGCCACATTCCTCCAGGGCAGAGCCAGATGCAAAAAGTAGGTGCAGCCAGAGGCAAAACTGGGACGAACAACAAATGCAACTTCTGCATCCATGCCATGCCAAAGTCAGTGGTTTCTACCTACCTACCTACATGTATGGGTAATCTATCTGGAAGATAAAATTATATTTCAAGGAGTTAGTGATCTGACTCGGTTGCCCTCTTCCTGCCTCTTTTCCTTCCTTCTTCTCCTTATCTCTTTTTAAGTTCTTTGATGGCATGAGAACAGCCTTTAATGTCCTAATCAGTTAGGAGGAAGAGATAGTGATGAGAACCTTATTTGATGTTGGACATTGTTTGGAGAAAGTGATGCATTGGTAAAGGTAAAGGGACCCCTGACCATTGGGTCCAGTCATGGCCGACTTTTGGGTTGTGGCACTCATCTTGCTTTATTGGCCGAGGGAGCCAGCATACAGCTTCCAGGTCATGTGGCCAGCATGACTAAGCCGCTTCTGGCAAACCAGAGCAGTACATGGAAATGCCATTTACCTTCCCGCCAGAGCGGTACCTATGTATCTACTTGCACTTTGACATACTTTCAAACTGCTAGGTTGGCAGGAGCAGGGACCGAGCAACGGGCGCTCACCCCATCGCGGGGATTCAAACCGCCGACCTTCTGATCGGCAAGTCCTAGGCTCTGTGGTTTAACTCACAGCACCACCTGCATCCCTGATGCATTGGTGACTGGGGGAGTCACTTCACCACTTCTTGAGGGCTTCCAAGTGGCAGATTGAGGTGCGTGCTTGGTATGTGTATATTGCTTGCTGTTTAGAATAAAATCTTTCATCTTCTCACTCACTTGTGTTTTGTATTACTTCTGAATCTCATTTTAAAAGAACCACCTTGCATACGTCAAGACAAAACACACACACTGCCATCCTCCCTTAAGGTAAACAAGAAGCATTATGACACTTCAAGTGCCATTCAAAAGCATTCAAGAAGAGTGCACAGCCTATTTGGGTTGTGGCCTGGGGACTGTGCAGAAAGCCAAACTGAGAAGGTTCTTGCTTTAAGTCACCTGATCTTTCATGTACTGTGTGCATGCGTAACACATATTACGCAACGAGCAGCATATTTTCAGCGAATTACTAATTTATTTTACCATTCCTGACTTCTGTATTATATTTATATTCCAGCACTGCCATGAGTGTCGTTAATTGTATATCTAAAATAAAACGCTCAAAGTGTAAAATGTGAACAGCTTATCCTTAGAGCTTTTTTGTTCTAGTTTAATTAGAACTTGCTATTTTAGTGATAGCACTCATTATCCGCATTTTTCCTCATTAGAGTGAATGCCGCTGTAGACACCACTGAGTCACAAATCATCATATGTTTGCACTGTGCTCTTAAATAATGACCTACATATCGCTTCTTTTAAAAAAGAAGATTCCATGGCAAGCAGTTCTGTTACATCACTGCAAGATGTAAGCAGCAGTCTGCATTTGTGTGTTTGAATATTTAAACTGATTTTTTTGAGAGAATACCAAAATATAAGGGCCAAAGTGGCAGGGCAGAAGCGGCTATTTGTCCAACCCCTTCCACTTAACCCATACAGTTTTGGCTGGGGTGATGTTGCAGCCACCAGGATCCAGGTAAGGCACATGTGGAAGGCAGTGTGCTTCATCCCATCACTGGCTGAAGCCAGATGAGCCATTTAACCTCATTCTGCTCCTAACTTAGCCCTCTTTTGCTGCTGCCTTTGGTAGGGTGAATTATTTGCAATGTACTCAAACTTGTTGCTGCCACCTTCTGGAGTGTTAATATTGCAGCATTTTCAAGTTTCGCTTCTTTGTTGAGCACATACTCTCTAGCTACATCCTTTAATTAGCCATGAACAGGCCAAAACACACAGACTTTCATTTGCAAATAGAGGCCTTGGGAGGAAGAGAACTTTCTTCAACTGGAGGGGGCGCATGCTAACCTTTGTTTTTTTCTGTGTTGCTAGTCTTATGGTGATGCTGCTATTGTTTCTACACACACACTATAATGCAATACAATACAATACAATACAATACAATACAATACAATACAATACAATACAATACAAATATGGAATGTTTAATTCACTTTCATACTTTTGAAAGCCATATATCGCCTTGCGGCATTATGACTATTTAAATATCCTTACCTGTAGCTGACCAATTTATTACTTCCCCTTTATAAATGTGCACAAGAATAAAAATGTTAGAAACTGCCCCCATCAATATGCTTATTTAGCGCAAAAAAATAAATAAAATAATCCAATTCCCTGTTGCACATTAGCAGTAAGAACAAGTTCTATACTTTCTAGTAGTTACAGGTGGGCTTCTAAGACCATTTCTCCAGAGCTTGATGTGGGTGTGGGTTCATTATAGATGAAAACAAAGCTGCACAATACATCAAATGTGCTACAAGAAATCCCTGACTCAGAAACATCTTTTCAGTGGGAAATACCTGACACACAATAAAAAGAAACTTCACAGAACTTTTGCAAACTTCTGTTCAGTGCACATGAATGCTCTCTGCATTCATTTCCATAGTGTACATGAAACCTCACTACACCACTACAGACAATATAGGCCGGTGTCTGTCCAGAACTTTAAGAATACATTCAAGTCCCTGTGTACATATTGGAAGTACTGAATTCAGATTCTGAAATACAGCCTAAGTGTTAAAATGAATGAGGATTTCCTCGCCATGCTTTTAGTACATTTTGCAGCAAGCAAGGTGACCACACTGTGGATAATCATTTGAAAATGCACACAAAATTTGTAAAGCATAAAGCGTTAAACGTTAATGCCAAAAGACCTAAAGTCAGCAACAGCAAAACAGGAAAAGTAGCATTGAAAAGATGCTTGTCTTTGAAATGATTCAAACAACAACCACAAGAAAAAGCCTGCACCTTTTCAGAATAAACGTAACTATGTGGACTGAAACTAAGGCCCTGGTTGGTGGATATACCAAACTAATCCCAGCTAGGAAGAGAATCCAAATGGACCAAAAGTGGTATTTGAAGCAGCCTGAGTGTAGGCTGTTTTTGTTGGCTTTTCAGGAAGTACCAGGTATGGTGGGAAATAATGGCCACAATATAAATGGTCAAAATATGAGACTGGCCAACCCAGCATTGGAGCAGCAAAGTTAGGACATATACAGTAAGTGTTTAAAACCATTCATGCAAAGCATGCATGCAGGAACGACACAATATGTTCACCAACTGGAGAAGGCTTCACATTTAAAACAATTACCATGGCAGAGGTCTGCCACTCCTGGGCACTGTCTTCCCATGTAAATCAAGCCCTTTTCTCCACACCAAGTGGTGACGTGAAGAATACCACCCAATCTGCACAGTAAGCTAGTGCATGCAAAAGGCTTCATCCATGGAGACTGTTGCTATGTGGATTGCTATTTAAAAAGGTCTGCAGAAACACAGCATCATACTGCATTCATATACATCTGTAATAAGACATCCTCACTCAGTCCTCACTCTTTGGTTACATATTCCAAGGATAGCCTTGTATCTGGGATACAGGGAAATGAGAGAAGTGTAGGACTGAAAACACATACCAAGCTCAAAACCAATGCACCAAGTCTTTTTGCAAGAAATACAGTACACCACTCTCCTTTATGTCCCTTCTACAATATTTTTCTTTCGGAGGGGGCAGTTGAACAATGAGGCAACTGAATGTGCTATCTGCTATATTGTCCCGATTTTACATGTTACTGAAATTACCAAATTTGTTTCTGAAACACAATAAGCTTTTCTATATAAGCAAGAGTAGTCAGACATTAACTTAACAATGCTTTCCCCCCGGCACTTGACAACCGTTTCTGAAGAAGAGAAAATGTAGAGAAATAATGGCAACTGTGATTGTTATAGCTGAAAATCAGGAGAAACAGATCATTTGACTTTCAACAAGCATCAACCCATCTCTTTGCCATTATGAAAAGCAGAACACATGTGGCTATTAATTGCTGTGAACCACTAATTGTTCACGAAACAGAAGTCTTATAAACAGTATAAGTGTAGCCATGAATAACTTTACCTCACTTTCAGGTTTCCTTGCTGTGGTTGCCCATCATAAACAGACAAAATATCAAAATCTTCTTCAAGGGCAAACGTATGAAATGATAATTGTATCCTGTTACGCTCTCCTGTGATAATGATCCATGTGCAATTGGCATAATTTGGATAGCCATGAGGAAATCCTGGGCTTTCTATTGTACCATTTGGACCCTGTACTAACCCTCCACAGTTCTGACCTGAAAAACAAAGAGAGAGAGAGAGAGAATAAAAAGTGAGAACAGCTGTGCTTTCCAATTTTAATATTTCTTTTTACCTAGTTTTAAATATATATATTTCTAATTATCATAGGAAACATGAAAAGAAATATTGAAAACTCAGCATTCCTTGGCATGTGTCAAACCATCTAACAGCATGTTTATTTGAACAGTCCTGAGTGAGATATCTAACAGATATTTTTCTTTAGTATAAGTTTCAGATTAATTTGTCCTTTTCTCCTGTACCCTTGGAGTTACAGTAGGATAATGTATTTTTTTAAAAAAAAATAATAAAGCTACAGAACCTGCTTTCTGCAGTGGTGATAGAGATCTTAGCTATACAACTACGTGCAGATGCCTCTGTGAAGGGAGTGAAAATAGGAAATGTTGAACATCAAGTTAATATGTTTGCGGATGATGGTGCAAAATCCAATTGTTGTGCTTCAGTCTTTGAAAGAACATTTAGAACAGGCATGTCCAAAGTCCAGCCCGGGGGCCACTTGCAGTGAGCGCCTGCCCACCAAAGCCATTTCATTTTTGCGGGCTCGTCACAAGGTCTCCCCTCTGTGCGGGGGCGTGGCTAGCCCCCACACCATTAGGGAGTCCCCGGCTGCATCACTCCTTGGGTCAACCAATCTGGGCCGACCAATCTGGGGGGCGGGGGGCGTGGCTAAATAAATAAATAAATACTACAGTACACATTCGGGATGTTGATGCTGCAGCGGTGTCAGTGGAAGATGGGCGGCTGCTGCCTTGACCCAGTGCCGGATTTATGTATAGGCTAAGTAGGGTGAAGCCTAGGGCCTCTAAATCTAGGGGGCCTAGCCAGTCTGTCCACTCCCCAGTGCCGCAGTCTCCCCTCTCCCAAAATTGTAAACCCAAGACTTCATGCAAGGGCAGGGCAACTCAGGCCCAGCAACTATGAGACTCAGGGCTAGCCAGTGTGGCCCAATTTGAAGCAGTGGGGCGCAACTTGAATATTTTTTTTTTGTAGGGCCCCAGTTCACAGCAAAAGTCTGCAAAATCTTACAGATATAAATAAAGTCCATCTAGATTGCCCTGGTGCAGGGACCCCCTTAGGAGCAGCACGTGGGGCCCAATTAGGCCCAATTGCCTTAATGTCAGTCCTGATGAGACTGTGCAGGGGTTGGACTGACAAACCCTGCACCTTCTTGGTCCCTGGTGTCACGATTCAGAGTACAGACTCAACAACTTGTTATGGAAATAAAGGGGGCACTTATTGGAAATCAGTTTTGTCACCTCTTCCCCCCCCCCAAACCCCGAGACAATGAACCCAGCCACCTTTTATTCACAGTCGCATAAGCACTACACTACAGCATGGCCATAAACCTGTACGTTCAACTGCTGAAATATATACCCAATATGTAGCAATGGAGATTTATGTTACTGCTTTATGAATGAACACTGTGTTTTATGAATGGACTCTGTATTTTGTGAATTACCTAAGAGCCACCAATAGGGATCTCTAGAATCTGACAGCTAACCAATTGGGTACTACCAAACAGCGACCCCTATCACTGAAAGCAGGTAACCAGCAGGGAATGCTTCAGCTCAGCCTTTGCACTGTTGACTTAACACCCCCTGCTGTGCAGATAATGGTGAAAGCTCATAAATTGTATCCCTTCTGGCATCCTGGCCAACTCTATTACGCTGGTGTAAATCCTGGTCTGGGAAGAGTGAGGTATACAATGGGCACCACCAGTGAAAAGGCCCTGCTCCATGTAACTCCTGCCTTGTGCCCACTTGCCCTCCTTCTTGACATGGAATGCTCTCTATTGGAGTCTCCAGGTCCAGTACAAAGACCATAAGAAGGGAGAGCAGGGACCTTGAAATTTCCAACAACTGTTAATCAATCAAGCAAGCAAGCACACAGGTCACCTTTGTCACAGTCAGGATGCCTATGTCCTGGCCAGGCCTGCACCCAATCTTGTTTTTGTACAATCTTGTTTGTCCTCAGTTACCAAAATCATATTATCAACATATACAGTAAGAGCAGAAAAATTGTTTGCCTTCATTGGCAAGGAATCATACAAAACAAAGTAGCACTAATAAAGAAAAGTTCCAGGGTGACAACAGAAAGCAAACTAAAAATGCTTTTGCAGGTCATCAAAACTATCCAGCAATATCAATAGGAAAACTGGTGCTATTAACAGTAATCCTAGTTGGTTAATTGGTTTGGCAACTTCCATGCACATGACGTGTGATGCTAATTATTTCCCCCAAGAGTTAAATGATAACTAATCAGAGGCTGCTACAGGAGAGCCATGAGATTCAGGGGAGGGTCAGATGCCTTGTCATTCCCAGCAGGTATATGACAGCCTGCCCAGGCCACAAAAGGTTTACAAAGTTCAGTTATTGCAAAAGTTTTTCAGTGTTAATTTTATGCATTTTTAAAAATCACATGGTATTTAACAATACCCTCAGCTGGGAAGGGAGGCTTTGCACTGCCTATTAGAGCAGCCCCGATCCCAACTCCTACATGTGTGCATACACTCCATACACAAACTATAGCACCCTCTTTTATTTGACTTATTTGCAAGCCTGGACCCTGCCTGAGAAAATTTCGGGGCTGAGCTTCAGCACAAATTAAATCTTGAACATCTCTCTCCCCTGTCTCTCTAGTGCGTCAGCTTCTCAAGCAATAGCAGCCAGCGGGAATAAGTAATGTGGCTTGGTGTGATCACATTAATATTGCTAATGTTGAGTACGTTGTTCCTGGAATAGCCAAACCCCATGCTGGGACTTCAGTAAAACCTTAATTACCAAACTTCAAGCTTCAGTTTAGGTGCTAAAATGTTTGATCATGCCTTTAGTCAGGAGTGCTGCATTGTGCCAGTTGTGTTGTAGTGGACTCAGTGCTGGACTGGGAAGACCTGGGGGGTCTGAATTCTTTCTGAGGCAAGTTGATTCTCGGTGGGTGACCCTGAGCCAAGCACACGCCCCTCTCATTCTAACCTACATCATGACATTTTTTGTGAAGAAGAAATGTGGGACATCCTTTCTCTTATGCACATTGCCCTTAGCTCTTCAGGGGAAAGTAGGATACCTATTTTAATAAATGAAAGTACTATTCAGGCTCTTGGGAGAAAAGCAATGACAAACCTAGACAACATCTTAAAAAGCAGAGACATCACCTTGCCAACAAAGGTCCGTATAGTTAAAGCTATGGTTTTCCCAGTAGTGATGTATGGAAGTGAGAGCTGGACCATAAAGAAGACTGATCACCGAAGAATTGATGCTTTTGAATTATGGTGCTGGAGGAGACTCTTGAGAGTCCCATGGACTGCAAGAAGATCAAACCTGTCCATTCTTAAGGAAAAAAGCCCTGAGTGCTCACTGGAAGGACAGACCCTGAAGCTTAGGCTCCAATACTTTGGCTACCTCATGAGAAGAGAAGACTCCCTGGAAAAGACCCTGATGTTGGGAAAGATGGAGGGCACAAGGAGAAGTGGATGACAGAGAATGAGATGGTTGGATAGTGTTGTCGAAGCTACCAGCATGAGTTTGACCAAACTGCAGGAGGCAGTGGAAGACAGGAGTGCCTGGCGTGCTCTGGTCCATAGGGTCATGAAGAATCGGACACGACTAAACAACAACAACAACTATTCAGGCATACATTTTATGAACATGAAGGCACAGACACCATATTTCAATGCAAAGTATAAGATATTGACTTTTTAGCAGAAAGTGTTGATACTGGACTACAGTATGTGCATGGCCCCTAAATTAGGCAGTCAATAAAAGCCTCGTTTTCCAAAACTTCCAGTCATGACTGAATTCTAAGACTTTGCTCAGCAGGGCTTTGCTCCGAGATTGTATAGTATATACCCTGCAGAACCATATGAGGGCAGGCAGCTTATTAACAGGCAACCCCTTACCAAGTAGCCTTGATTTACGACAAACATTTTTTCTATCCATCTTGCTGAGCTCATTAATCCCACAAATACAGATATGCCGAATCTTAGAATTACACTGAGGCTTAAAAATCAATCTGTTTTGTAATGAATAAAATGTCTGCACAGAGAAAAGTTGGGAGGGGGGGCGATGTTTTGTGCACAATGCTTAGGCTCTCACATGCAGTTTAGGCACAAATATAATCCCAATACTTGCTGTTATACCCAAAACAAAAAATTATTCCAGGCTACAATTTTTATTTTTATTTTAAAACTTCCTATGAATAGGTCTCTAAGTCTAAATCCTCTACTGAAATGCTGTCAAATGCTTGTGGGAGTTTCCAAATCTCAGCATAAAGGATTCAATAAAAAAAGGATTTGCAGGTTAAAACTAAGGACTAATAAGCAACCATTTTCTACTAAATTTAAATCAGCAACTCTAATGAATAGATATTAAAGCTGTGGGAATTCAGTAGGCCTTTAAAAAGAGAAGGATTTCCTAGCATATCTGCCAATTGTTCAAACCAAGCCATTATAATGCAGATACTGCCACATTTCTTTCCCTAAATGTAATGCCTTTTATAATTAAGTAGTTCCTAAAAATGTATTTATATCCTGTTAAACATAGCTTGAAGCAAGGGACGAGAACTCTCAGCTGGCAATAGGAAGCTGCAACAAGCTACATTATATGAATGCTTCCTTCTTGTTGCATAATGAGGAACGGAGTATTGCCACAGCAGAGTCAGCTCTCTTATTCTCTGTCTTCTAAAGCAGTGCTCCATGGTGTCTCCATGCACAGTGAATGCAAATACAGGGGAGAAGACTCATGGGAGCCAGTCATGCCCCGAGTGTTCTCTTGACCCTATCTGATCAGGTCAATGGCCCATCTAACCCAGCATCCCCTTCTTACAGTGGCCGGCCAGATGTTTATGCGAAGCCCACAAGATCAACCTGAGCATAACTACACTCTGCTCAGCTGCAATTCCCAGCAACTAGGCACACTTCTAGCAACAAAGGAGATAAAACAGAACCAGGATGGACAGTAGCCATTGAGAGTCTAATAATTCC